GGTTTTCCTCGGTAGGTCTGGACGACGAGGGTGGTTTTTAATGTTCTTAACTACCCATGAGGGTCTTGCATGGTCAGTTATAATAGGTCTGGTAAGTTGATACATTGAATGAATACAAATACTGGTTTGATTTTATTGGGAGTATTGAAGTTATAACCTTACATTCCATTTTATAGTTTATGGCAATTATTTGTTTACTTATAAATATTCCTAAGAGTAAATATATTTTTAACATGAGAATTTCAAAATAAGCAAAAATAGGAGGAGTAACTCTTTTGGGATTTATAATTAAAACGTTGTTTTTGCTGTTTAAAAAATACTCATCATACCTTTTGGCAAAATTACAAAACCTTTTCAAAAGTACCAAAAACAGTGATTGTCCAAAGTAAGTGTGGCTGGTGTATAAAACTTATTAAATCAACTGCCACACTGGAGGTAAACCAGCGGTTAAAATGAAAGTTGTTTGTTGTAAAAGAGAAGGAAGACTCATTAAAAGAGATAGGATATATGATATACTAGCTTGGAAACATTGCTTTATAGATAATAAAAATATGCATAATTGTCAATTATAATTATTTAATGGACCAACAGTTAATCTTTTATCAAGTATAAACAATTTTTCGGCATGTGTACAACTATCGCCGTATCGGCATTGTAAATGTCCAAATTAAAATTTCCGATTGCATCACTGGTCTACGCTTGGGTAGTGAGTGAAGCCATAAAATTGTTGTCAGGAGTCATAAATTATCCCCTTATTAATTAAATCACAAAAGAAACAAGTTACAAGTTCTAATTGATTGATTAAATCCCATCTGCAACAGGTAACCCTCATCAGGTAAATCAATCACCTGTTGTAACTATCAATGTGCTGGTTGAATATCACCTGTAATTTTTATACCATACAAATATACAATTTAACAAGTCACAATTTTACCGAAAATTATAGTACCACAAAACCGAAATATAGGACCACGCGAGGAATGATAGAAGTTATAATCAAAATTAAATAGCGTCCATGACATGTGGTGAAGCACACGTTACATGAAATTTCAAAAATTTCAACCAAAATGAATTTTTATTAGATCTGCAAACTACACCTTTTCATAAAATTGAATTTGAAGAAAACCCCTCTGACTGTCTACAATTGTTTTATGATATGTTGAACAAGGCTTTAGATAAACATGCTCCTGTTGTTAAAAAGAGAGTTAAAAGGGACAGACAGCCTGAATGGTATAACAGTGAAATCATTTACGCTAGGAATATGAGAGATAAATATAATGCACTTGGTTTATGGAGTGAGTATAGATTTTGAAGAAATAAAACTAAACAAATTATAGATAACTCAAAAAAGAATTATTATAAAAGACTCCCATGACCCTAAAACTTTATGGAAATGTCTTCACAGTCTGAACCCAAAAGTTAAAAATACACCATATGAGTTAGCCACAGAAGATAACAATACAACTAAAAGTAAAAAATCAATAGCAGAAACTTTTAATAACTTTTTCACTTCCTGTGCTGAAAAATTAAGACAACAAGGAAGTTATACACCTGTAAACAAAGCAGATCTCAGTAATCTTGGTAAATTTGTTAAAAATAAATTTCATAAACATGATAAATTTTCTATACCGTAAATTGGGTTTGTTTTGGTTGTAGTTTTATTTTGGTTTATTTGGTGCCTCCAATGAAAGTGCCAAAATTATACACACGAAAATAAGGCAAAGGTTTAACACTAAAATTTGAAACGCCAAAATCGGGGACCGGTACGACGATATCGTAATGTTAATTGTTGGGGAAAATATCTTAGGCTAATATATCTTCCGCATATTTTCTATAATTCTATACATAGCCAAATCTGCAAATAAATACCAGGTATAATTTGACAACAACACTATATAATTTTTACTTAATTGTCAATTTTCTGAAATTGTTAAGAAAACATAAACTGAATTTGTATTCACACATGTCATAAATATGGCAGGCTATTGCTGATTAGACGCCGTTATTGGTAATATAGAATATCAAAACTCTTTGTAAATCTTTATCTTCAATTAATTAACATGTACTGCCAGAGGCATAAGGATTAAAATTTAAATCCTTGATCGTCAATCATTAACATGTTCTGCAATATAGATAATGATTAAAATCTATTTCATATGATATTTGTCAAAAATAAATAATCTATTTAAAATCATTTTCTGTTAGCTTTCAACCCCGAGATACGGAATTATTTGCAATAGCATTCGTATCTGATTCCTTCATTTAGTTAACTTTGTCGTGTTTCTAGTTTGTGTAGGTCATTGATATCATTTGTCAATAAACGTAAACGGGTAAATAAGGGCAAATATGAATGAGCTCGCACACTTCTATTGTTCCAAAATTAAACACCTCAATTGGACAAAGCACCAAAATTACACACACCAAAATAAAACACATGCCTTTCGAGAGAAAACCGCCAAAATATCCCGACGCCAAAATTTCCCAATTTACGGTACCACCAGTGATCATGAATGAGCTATTTAATGAGTTAACAAAACTTGATATAAACAAAGCATCTGGTATGGATAATATTGGACCAAAAATACTAAGATTAAGTGCCCCTTTTATTGCATCACCTCTCACATACATATATTTAACCGAATGATAGATACTGGCATATATCCTTCTTTACTGAAGAATGCTAAGGTAACACCAGTTTTCAAGGATGGTGACAAGCTTTTTGCAACAAATTACAGACCTATATCTGTTCTTCCAACTTTATCAAAATTAATAGAAAGACATGTTTCTAATAATATGTACAAATATTTATCTAAACTTAAACTTTTACACCCTACACAATCTGGTTTCAGGCCGCAGCATTCTTGTCAAACTGCACTTATTAATATCATTGACAAATGGTTGCAAGAAATGAATGATGGTAATTTAAACCTAGCAATTTTATTAGATTTTAAAAAAGCTTTTGTTTTGGTAGATCATGACATTCTTTGTTTAAAGCTTGAAATTTATGGATTTAGTGAGGCTACTGTTAGTTTTTTCAAGTCATACCTGAATAACAGAAAACAGCAGGTAAACATTTGTAATGTTTATTCTGAACAACATGTAAAATTTGGTGTCCCCCAAGGTTCTATACTTGGTCCTCTATCGTTTGTGCTATTTATAAACGACCTTCCCTTATGCATTGAAAATTGTGAAACAGACCTATATGCTGATGACACCACTCTTCATAAATCAGGGAAAAACATAGAAAATATACATGATGATGTTCAAGAAGATTTATACAGGGTTGAAGAGTGGTGCAAAATGAATAACATGTTCATTAATGCAAATAAAACAAAATGTTTGGTTACTGGAACAAAGCAGAAACTATCAATTCAGACTTATCAACCAAACTTGATAATAAATTCAAAAGTATTACAAAATTCTTCATGTGAAAAATTATTAGGTGTTAAAATTGACAGCACACTTAACTGGAGAAATCAAATTGACCAAGTTTGTGCTAATATATCATCCAGAATATACCTTCTTTCTAAAATAAAGAAATTTTTAGATATAAATGCAAGGAAAACATGTTACAATGGGTATATTCTGCCCCTAATTGACTACTGCTGTATTATTTGGGGTGAATGTAAAAATGAAGGGATATAACAAGAATTTTAAACTCCAAAAAAGGGCAGCAAGATTAATTCTAGATGCAGATCCTTTATCCCCCTCAGCCCCCTTATTTAAAAAACTTGGGTGGATGATGGTTGACAATAGAATCAAATACCACAAATATTTACTTCTATATAAATGTATGCGTATGGAAGCACCAATGTACCTAGTTCAAAAGTTTAAACTGAAATCAGATAATAATCCTTACTCCTTGAGAGGTGCATGTCACTCAAGGTAATCTGATAGTTCCTAAGCCAAAAGCTGAGCTATTTAAGAAATCTTTTGTTAATTCTGGATCAGTGTTATGGAATGGACTACCACACAAAATGCATAAAGCTCAAAACACTTATACTTTTAAACAAAGTATCAAGAAGTACACAGTCCTGATAAGATTATATTTTCTACAATGTATTTGTATGTTTTTTTTTTTTTTTTTTTATTTGATTTTTGACTACATGTACATCTTGAACAGCTTTATATCTTATCATGTTAATAAAATTACATTGAACTACTTGACTGTAAATTAACTATGTGTAAATATCTGTTTTTGATTGTATTGTAATTTGTATGTGAGGGCCTGAGGGAAGATTAGTTTATTGTAACTAACTGAGTTTACCCTTTTTAAATAAAGAATTTATTACAAAATGTATTACTATTATTATATCTGACAAAAGTCAGATTTCTCTTTTGTTCCTGCCGGTGGGCAACACTTTAGACGCGTCCTTGTACTTAATTCGTACAGAAAACGACAATGTCAATGCGATTTTGTTGCCCATCTTTCAAGCAGACAGTTTACCCTCGATACATACTGCTAAATTGATAGATAACTCCAGAGAGTTCCGAGAAGACTTCTGGTAATATCAGAACCAATGTCGGAATGGAAACAAATAAATTTCGGAAATAAAAAAAAATTCCGATTTTTTTTGGATCAAATAATTTTTTGACCCTGGGGCTTATTTTTGACCCAGTCGGGGCGAGGGGAAACAAACATGTTTTTTATTTTGGCCCAACATGATCAAGATTCTATTAGCTGAGTCTAGAAGTGATCATTTTATTACAAAAAGGAATTAAATTAACAACCTAATATATATATCTCTGTTATCTTAAACAAGAGTATATTCGATTAAATCCCTATCCATAACATTGCCTTTATATCTACATGTAACCCCTCATAAAAGCCAAAAAGGGATAGACTAGTCATTACTTTGAGGGGTTGTTCCCAACCTGTTTTAAAACCAATGACACTATTCCTTTTTATGACTTAAATAAGAGCCTTGATTTGTTTGGAGCGGATGACGGACGCCAAATGATCTACTGGTCAATTTTGTAAATTAACACGTGAAACTTACTCCAAGTTTTTTCATTTCGATATTTTCAATGTAGAATTTGTTTATAACACGGACGTTTTGTTTTTGATTTTTAAAACCGTTCCTCTGACAAAGATTTCAATATACAACAATCGGAACTACTCGGCCTTTCTCCTTACACGAAGAAATAACATTACAATCGGAACTCCTCGGTCTTTCTGGTGCACTATTTCGGATTGTGTGTGTATAAGAATCATTTGACATCAATTACTGATGAAGGATATTAGTTACCCGAAATATTTAACATTTGTTCATGTCTCTTTTCTTGTTATTGGTACAACTATTTTATAAAAGAAGAAAAAAAATTATTTGAGGTGTCCAGTGCCAGTGCCAGTGGTGGTTTGCAGAGTTGTAGTGCTCTCTTCGAGAGAAGCTCTACTGACTAGTACTGTGATAGTCGAGTTTGGCATATTTATACACCTTTATTACTAGGATTTCAAACTCCTGTGCATTTATCAATATTATCCCCGATGACAGAATGGCAACCCAGTCGATTTGTGTCATGAGTGAAAATCTTATCTATGAGATGGAATAATTTCTTCATTAACTGTACATGCAGCATTTTTGTAGTTTTTATTAACTGTGCACATACCCTTTGCATTTCTGCAAGATAAATGGGTTGTGTATGTGTAATAACAATAATGGAGGAAGATAAAAGTTTGTTATGTCATCAGTGAGTGATCACGTGACATTATTATTTGTAAACAAACGGTCTCGTGTAACACGTGTGGGAATTATCCATACAAGGTGCAATCAATCTTATATTTCACTTTTTGATGATATTTCTGTGTCTGTTAGTAGGTGTTGCAGATCAGAAGTCAGTTTTATTGTACCAACGATACTAATGTTGCTGTTTACAGTTTAGTAGTTAGTTGTGAATTTTTTTATAGAAATAGAAGGTAAGTAAACTAATTCTGTGAAAAATGACAACTCTACCTGTATTTTTTCCTCAATTTTTGAAACACGCTTAATATTAAAGAACATTTGCTTCCCTTGAACACTCCCCCTTCACCCCTCCCCCCAAAACTCATAGTACGAGATAACTCTGACGTCCAAAGGCTCTTTTGCAATTCCGATATTTTAACTTTTGTTTCAAATGGATATCAAGTTACCAGAGACTACACGGCCTTGAGACTGAAGTATGCTAATTTCTGCATTTAACGTTTAGTAGCGAACCAAGATAACAATCGGAACACACTCGGCCATTCAGCTTATTTGCATCGTAAATGAATGAGGCGTTAGATTATGTATTCATATTGACCCAGGGTCATACATGTATGCATAAATCAGCTCCCATAATGCATTGTAAATTACTTTTTCTCGTTGGTCATGTGACAATCTTTCAAAGTGAAAGTTAAAATGCAATAATCGATGGGTCACTGTGAAAACTGTCCAAATATGATAAAATAAAGGGTGGCAGGTAGATGAAACTTGCATAAATGAAGAGATAAATGGAAAATGAACAAATTGAGGCCCGATTTACATGGATCCAGTCAGCTCCGGAAGCAATGTACCAGCACATCCATTTTGGACGGCAAATATCCACTTTTGATATGGGAGCTACCATTTGAATGGGGGGGGGGGGGGGGGGTGGGGCTAGGATGAAATTTGAAAAAAAGGCAGGATAAGAGTTTGAGTAATAAAAAAAAAGGCAGGATGAGACACTTTGCCAAATAAAAAGTCGGATGACAATTTATGTAAAAACAAGTCATAAAAATCTAATGAAAGCTCCCTTATAGTGTTTCCTTTGTAGGGTTTTGGCGTGGTATGGCACTGTTCATTAGACATATTATGGTATACCTTTGTCCGTCTGTCTGCCCTGATCTGTCTGTTGCCAGCATGTTGTTCACTAACTCAGTAATGCTTTCACCAATTTGCATGAAACTGGTGAATTGATTTTATCTATTGACGTGAGCTCCCTTTAGATTTTTTGGGAATTTTATATTTTACATTTTCGAGTCTAGGGGTTTTATTCATTATAAAAGGGGGGTTTCATGTTTTCGGCCATTAACTCTAAAAATGCTTTGTTCACTAACTCAGCAACTCTTTCACCAATTTGCATGAAACTGGTGAATTGATTATTTTTTAAATTTGTTTTTTTCCGTTTCAGAGTTGTGGGATTTTATTGATTAAAAAGGGGGAATTTCCCAGTTACATGAAACTGTGGTGAATTGTTTATATCTATTGATGTGAGCTCCCTTTAAATTTTTAGGAATTTAAGACTACATTATTGAGTTATGGGATTCTATTCATCAAAAAAGGGGGATTTCCATGTTTTCTGACATGAACTCGTAAATGCTTTAAGCAGTTGTCATTTGTCATGAAACTTTGGTTAATTGTTTATATCTATTGATGCAAGCTCCGTTTCAATTTTATAAATTTAAGGGTTTAGGTTTCAGAGTTGTGGGATTTTATTCATAAAAAAGGGGGGATTTCCCAGTTTGCAGATAATAATTCAAAAATGCTTTGAACAGTATTAAACTTTATTGACTGTTTTATATCTATTGAAATAACCACCCTTTATTTTTATGCCCCCGTCGTAGTGGAGGGGGCATTAAGTTTAACCCTTGTCCGTACGTTTCTAAAAATAGAGCGTTACATTGTCTTTTGCTCAAAAAGGTAAATGTGCTGATGTAAATGGGTTACGGTCTTCTCTGTGTTTATCAACTTAGTGTAAGTGATCATAATTATTTTGTTATTGCTCGGGATTTATGATAATGAAATTATGAATGAATTAAAACGAAAGTAAATTTCCAGTAAAAATGTTGAATAGAAGCATGTTTTCATGGAGTGTGTGTCCGAGCGAGAACATCTCTATGTTCATTACTTTAGGAATATTAATTTAAAACACAGATCATTTCACTATTCAGCCCATTAGGGGCCAGCTGAGGCCTCCCTCTGAGTGCAGGATTTCTCGCTGGATGGATCCCATTGGTGGCCTTCGGCTGCTATCTGCTCTTTGGTGGGGTTGTTGTCACTTTGACATATTCCCCATTTCCATTCTAAATTTTATTATTTCAGCTTCTTTTTGATAGCTGAGGGATAGTTATGATAACTAGACCCAGCTAGTGTTATCAGGAAGCATTCCTTGGACACACAGGTTCATGCAGAGCTCATCCAGACAGAAAACCATGTATTTAGGGTGACTATACGCGCCTTAACGAGAATATTGTTAGTATGACAAACACAGGTTTCATCTCCATATGACTAATCTACGGTGCAACAATAAAATTAGTTTGTAACAGTGAAACGCCAAAAATCAAATATATAGTTGAATAGCATTGGAAACCAAAAGTTACAATAAGGGACAACCAATGACCAGATACTTTTATGTAAATACAATTAAACAAAAACATTCATGTATCAAGTGTACCGGTAGTACAACATTGTCATTTATTTATCTGATGTTGCAGGATCATTTAAATAGAGTGTGATCTCAGTCATTAAACCACCCCTGGCCGGTCATATCATTGATCTCAGTCATTAAACCACCCCTGGCCGGTCATATCATTAACATTGTCATTCCAGTCAAGTTTTAAGGTGTATCTTAATTATATATATATATAATATAATCCCAACTATTTTTTTTGGCGTTTGAACAGTTGATAGGACTGGGAAAACTGTCTTACAAGATCCAATGTTCACAATTACTTCATAAAAATCTAAAAATTTTGCCACACCTACCCCAAATAAACCGACGGGTCATCGAATGTGCTCTAGAAAGGTAATTAGTTACTGCATGCCCCACTAGTGACACCAGTTTACATAAATTTGAGAGAAAATACAAAACTGGCTAAACAGTTAAAACAAACCAGACTAAGATTAAACGAACAATTGCTCATCAAGGTATAAACCAAAAAAAAACAGCCATCACATAAATAATGAAAGAAACATATTTAAATCATGAAAGAACATCTCGGTTTGGTATAACTGAGGGGCCTGATGGGGGGTCTCATCACGATTCATGAGTTGATTTTTTTGTCAATCACGATTCACAGAAAATAAATTTCCATGATCATGGATCACGAAAATATACATAAAAAAAATAAAACTGTAGAAAAACGGATCACGATAGCGAAAATGTACCGATCACGAAGAACGAAAATAACCCATCAGGCCCCTCATAACTTCATTATAACATGCCTAAATTCAATATTTTGAAGAAAAACCCAGTCGGATATTTGCTTGAAGGGTGAATTGGAGTTAATAATGCAATTGAAAAAAAAACTATTTCACTCAATTACATTAAAAAACCCATTTGTGAATTCTTATGTGGAGCTCTGTTGTATGCTGAATCTGATTAGTTCAGTTTGTGGGGAACCAGTACTGGTAAGTCAATAATATTTCGTGTGCTGTTGTACATGTATCAGAATTACAACATCTCATCCATGGGGATTAGTTGTCCACCCCCTTATCATGGTTGTCATGGTCTATTGACATTAAATCTTGGGCATGTTACAGCTTAAAATTAAAAATTCAAATCTCAGTAAATTACAATATGACCACCATCAACATCATCTTAAAAACTACATGTATATGCACATGCATATTAATATTTTGGTGTAAGAAGTTCATCCTCTCAATCTACTTTGTCATATTCCTTTCATATTCATTTAAATAAATGCCACAAGGATTATTAATATACATGTACAACAATAAGAAAACAATCACTGCCAAAGATAATTGAAAGACGTGTAGAGGTCAATACACAATCTCAAACAATAGACAAAATAAAAAACTTAAAAAGTACAGCCAATTGCTGAAATGTATTATTACATGTACATGTATTTGCAAGATCTAAAATATTATATCTTTCACAACTTTTTATGCCCCCTCCCTAGGGCATTAAGTTTTACCCTTGTCCGTCTGTACTTCCGTACGTCCCAAAGTTCGTTTCCGTTCTCTAACTTTTAGTTTGCCTCAACCAAATGGTATGAAACTTATACACAATGCATATAACCACAAAATACAGATCAAGTTTGAATTTTGGTGGTGTCACTTTAACCGTTCTAGAGTTATGCCCCTTTACAATTGGACAAATTGCTAAATTTTTCGTTTCTG